TTTTCATGGAATTTGTTGTTATTCCATATATGTATTTATATTGTAACAAAGTATTTATTATTTTATTAGCAGAGTATCATTTTTATGTTTATATTTTTCTACTCTTTACACTTTGCTCATTGCTTATATTTTGTTTATCACTCATAGTTTGTTCTTGCCTGAAATAAATTGTTGTCTCATCCCGAAGTTGGTCTTCTCTAATTTTCCACGTGGCAATATCATTATGATGGTGGTGGTGGTATCTTGTCCATGGAGCAGATCGGTCCATGCACCCTGATCACAATACCGGGCAACTGAGGTGTCGTATGGATGTCCTCTTCTGGATTGATGTCTGCCATATAGAGGACTGCAAGGATGGCCGGGTATATGTGGTCCGGAGTGAGTTGGGTGTTGTGACAGTTATTGCAGTTCCTGTAGGATCTAGTCATGTCTGGGTTTATCTTCATTCCTTTAAAATGTCCTGTTCTGGATTGATGTCTGCCATATAGAGGGATGGCCAGGTATATATGGTCCGGAGTGAGTTGGGTGTTGTGACAGTTATTGCAATTCCTGTAGGACCTAGTCATGTCTGGGTTTATCTTCATTCATTTAAAATGTCCTGTTCTGGATTGATGTCTGCCATATAGAGGGCTGCAAGGATGGCCAGGTATATATGGTCCGGAGTGAGTTGGGTGTTGTGACAGTTATTGCAGTTCCTGTAGGATCTAGTCATGTCTGGGTTTATCTTCATTCCTGTCCTGTTCTGATTCTTGAAATTGTCGTTAATTCTCTGTTAATGTTGAGGTTGCATATTGGCTGGGGTATTTTGGTTTTTATAGCATTATAATGAACATCCTAATTGGCTTTTATGTATATGTCTGAATTATTCGCTTGCTGATTGGTTCCCTTGTTTCTTCTGTATCTCCAAACGATAGAAATACATGTATAAACACAACATGAAGTTGCGGGTGGATGATATTCATGTACCAAAAAAGGCACCTCTCCTATTAAATTATGTATTAGAACAATGGATTTTGTTCATCACCCTAATAAAAACCTTACTAATGATGATAAAGAATCAGCCATAACACCAGTTTTGGTAAATTCAGACAAAAAGCCAACCTGTATTACATAGTTTCAGGCTTTGGTGGCCCTCATCAGTACAGAGATGGCTTCGATTTTATAACCCTTCTCGTAGGTTGTTATGAAATTGAAGCCGCCCCTGTACTGATAAGGGCCATAGCTCGAAACCATAGAATACAGGTTTGATTTGTAAACAATACTTAAAGTTGCACCGCATAAGTTTCTTTTTTTGTGAAAAATCAATATTTATTTCAAAGAGAAATATCTAGTATTTCTAACTTTTTTGTTGACGTATGAGAGGGTGGAAATATGAAGCGTGATGGTCTATATATAATTGGATGACGTATGAAAGGATGAAAATATGAAGAGTAATGGCGAACGGAAAAATAAAAGTGTCCAGGGGCGGGAATCGAACCCACAACCTTCTGCTTACCGGGCAGGTGCCATGTCCACTAGGCTGATTTGTATCTGAATTTTCCAAAACTGGTGTGTTGTAGCTTATTCTTTATCATCATTAGTAAAGTTTTAACGAGTGCATCGTTCTTATGTATATTTAAAGGGAGAGGTATCACTTTTGGTACATGTATAAACACGATTAGGGTTTTTATTTACATATTGCCACTTAGAAAAAATAAGGAAAGACAAACTTAAGGATGACAGAGCTATTTCTTTGGATCAAATCAAGAAAGAAATAAGGATAACCCAGGCCCCTGGAGCGCAAGAAAGTTGATCAATTGCCAACCGAATAAAAACAAATATGAGAGACAACAAGAGAAATATGTTATAGTAACAAAAATATCCGAATTTTAATAATCTGTTAGTTAAAAATAATAAATATTATGCTACATACAATGTAATCGAATGTCTCCTGCGCATGTGCGACGGAACAATACCTCTAATTTACATTGACTCTCATATTATGATGCATTAGCGTGCCATCTGTTATCAAAATATGAAATTATTATAGACGCGTATGATTCTTTTAAAAATAAAAAAATTCTACTGTCCTTACTGTAATGGAAAAATTAATGGGAGGACCTGGCTCATCAGTGGTGAAACTGGCGAAACCGCTGGGAGGGTTCACCACTGATGAGACAGGCCCTCCCATTAATTTTTCCATTGCAGTAAGGACAGTAGAATTTTTTTATTTTTAAAAGAATCATACGCGTCTATAATAATTTCATATTTTGATAGACTCTCATATGCTGAGGCAAAATATTTATCATTTTAATGAACAGAATATTAAATTTGATATTTATATTTTGCAGCACCCAAACTTTCCTCGTTGTCTCTCTGTTATTTTATAATCATAGAGAGTTGATCATCTCTTCAGCTGCCTAGCTTTCTTGAGATACACACACACACACACAAGTCTTTATTAGGGACTTGCCCCATACAGATTCTCCCAATTGGGTAAGGTAATAATCATCTTGTGTTATTTACATAGAAATTGAACTGGCTTTACTCTTCATCTCAAAGTCATTCACTTGTTGACTGGTCCTTACATAATGATGATCTAAAAAATTTATAGTAAGCTATTGCATTAGATTTGTTTGCTGATATTTTTGAAAGCAATACGTAGGGTGAAGTGTTAGTACATTTATTTTGTTGATATAGGGCCTTCCTCTCTCCATCATCCAGCAGCCCCCTGACCGGCAGAGCTGGATCTTCGGTCGAGACCTGGAGGACAACGCCTTGGCCATCATGGCATCCGCCAAGACCCGCATCTACAAGCACTTCCTGGCCCTGGAGTTGCGGGGGGTCCAAGAAGACCCTCTCCTGGTCTGGAGGAGGACCCTATCGAGATGGTGGAGCCTTCCTCACTCATAAATCATTGTAAATATTCCCATTATTCTTCATTGATTTTGTAAAACATAATTGACAAGATGTCAATAAAGGGTGTTTCAATCAAATCTCTGCATTAAGGGCTGTACAATTAAGCAGGTAATGGGGGAGTTCTTCAGTAATTTCCTTGTCACACAGTGTATATATTAGCTTTCTTGAGATAGAGGATTATAGGATAAATAACCCCCCACCTATATACAACGAATAAAGACATTAAGACGCGAATGTTTCTTTTCAGAAAATAATCAAACTTCTACCATTTCTAAGATTCTACCCTTCAGTGTAGCATATAAAAGCAGAATGATCCAATACAGTATTAGAGCTCTAAAGAAGCGGTCTGGTGGATTAAATTGGCGAAACCGCTGGGAGGGTTCACCACTGATGAGCCAAGCCTTCATAATATTTTTTTCATCGCAGTAAGGACAGTAGAAGTTTTATTTATTTGTGAAAAGAACGCTTCACGATTTTTTGTGTCATCCTTGCGCAGGGGCCATGCTAATCTTCTCTGTATTGTTCCAATTTTAGTATATGTACCGCCGAACAAGCATGTATTTGTGAAAAGAAACATTCGCGTCTTAATGTTTTCATTCGTTATTTGATAACTAGCCGAATGACCCGGGCAACGCCCGTGTTTTACCCGATTGAATGTTTTGATTCAAATACTATTTGTTACAATTATAAATTGGCGCCTTAAATAAATGCATATGTTAGTTAATAACTATAGCCTATGTGCTTTATCTGTCTATGTACTGTTGGCTTCCGTAGGCGTCTCTTACTGGGAAAAGGAAAGAGAGGATTCCATTTGGTTATTAACTAATATATGCATTTATTTAAGGAGCGACCCGCTCCAACACAATGGTTACAAAAACAAAAAAGCGAGTGGGGGGGGGGGGGGCAAAGGTGGCGTGATCGTAGCCGACCAATAGGAGGGCGCCATTCCAAAAAAAAAAAAGCAAACGGTGACAGAGATGACTGATGAAGAATGACGCTCGTAACTGTATATAGAATACTGGCCCAAACACCCTTTCTTGATTAATCAAGAAAATCCAACCACGTATATGTTTCAGCTTGTAGATCTTCTTCAGCGTGGTGTTAAAGGATATTTAAGAAACTTGTGTCCCTGGCTGAAATCTCTTATTCCCGCCAATATAAACAGTCTGTGGGGGGGGTTGATAGATGAGCTGCCACTCGCCCCCTACTGCTAATCTTGGACCCGGCGCCCCCCAACTCTGGGGGCCACCAGAAATGATAAATTCTCGAGTGTATCCTCCGAATTCTTTTATTTTTCCAAATTGGAATTCCACGGTGCGTCTCTCTAGCTATTGAGATGTCGAGGATTTTTATCTGATTTTCAATCTTCTTGTTGGTTTTCTAGATCTCGTTATTCGTGGGAATATATTGGTGACAACCATTTCTTCCCCTTGTATGGCTATATCAACTCACTTGTTTTATTGTTGTTGTTGTTGTCGTGTCCATTGAAGATCCTCAGATGTCTCCATACATTTATATCACAGCAATGTCCACTATCTTGGGTGTGTATGGCTGCTGCTCTGGGTCCATGTCAATTTTCTGTTGTTGTCGTGTACAATAAAGAGCCTCAGATGTCTCCATACATCTCTATCACAGCAATGTCCACTATCTTGGGTGTGTATGGCTGCTGCTCTGGGTCCATGTCAATTTTCTGTTGTTGTCGTGTACAATAAAGAGCCTCAGATGTCTACATACATCTCTATCACAGCAATGTCCACTATCTTGGGTGTGTATGGCTGCTGCTCTGGGTCCATGTCAATTTTCTGTTGTTGTCGTGTACAATAAAGAGCCTCAGATGTCTCCATACATCTCTATCACAGCAATGTCCACTATCTTGGGTGTGTATGGCTGCTGCTCTGGGTCCATGTCAATTTTCTGTTGTTGTCGTGTCCAATGAAGAGCCTCAGATGTCTCCATACATCTCTATCACAGCAATGTCCTCTATCTTGGGTGTGTATGGCTGCTGCTCTGGGTCCATGTCAATTTTCTGTTGTTGTCGTGTACAATAAAGAGCCTCAGATGTCTCCATACATCTCTATCACAGCAATGTCCACTATCTTGGGTGTGTATGGCTGCTGCTCTGGGTCCATGTCAATTTTATGTTGTTGTTGTTGTGTCTATTGAAGAGCTTTCAGATGTCTCCATGCATCTCTATCACAGCAGCAGCAATATCCACTATCTTGGGTGTGTAAAGCTGCTGCTCTGGGTCTATATCATTGTTAAAGGGGGTGAGAAGTCCGACCACACCTTCCTGCGGTACTCCCTGGACCCTTGGAATATTTGACCAAATTCTGGTCCATTTCCAAGGTGACTAACATGGCACCCATTTTCTAATGAAAAGCAAACTTGTTTTATTTATTGTAAAGATAGAGGGTGCCTGGCCAGTATTCATAGTTCTTTAAATTAAAGATACTTCGGCAATCTTTATGATATTAGTACACCTATCCCCCGATTTACACGGTACTTGTTTTACACGTTTTCGCTTTTACACGGTTTTCCAAATAAGTTTTTTTTTTTGTTTTTATCGCACTATACTAAATGCTACTGTGATTGAACACATGCGCTGTGAACACATCTCACGAGGAATCCAGAGCTTATGTGCTGACTACATATTTTAACCTGTCAATGCATTTTATTTTTATTTCTGTGTACACCTATCCCCCGATTTACACGTTTTTCTCAGGAAAGTATCTACCGTGTAAATCGAGGGATAGGTGTATATAAAAAATATTTACTGACCGAAGTATCTTTAATTTTCTTTATTTAGTTCTCGACGTTTGAGTCACTCGCTGATTCCCTGATGATAGTAACAGCCAGTCACCGTCGGGAAATACATTTTTAAAACATTGGGTGATGTAGCTATATCTTTTTTCCAAGCAAACTTTTAACCAACAAATATCTTCAAGACCTTCCTCTTTAATAGAGGGGATGTAAAGTGACGCCAACTTTCATCAAGGTATTATAACATTTTAATGTGTGTCAACAACAAACTTTTATAGTGTTGTATGTAAAAAAAAGCAATAAAAAAGTCAGGTGTTAATATTAAAAACAAATTAGGCATATCCTGAATACTGACATGAGCGTTTTTTATATGGAATCTAGTGGTCAGGATATGTCTAATTTGTTTTTAATATAGTTTTGTGCTGTTGTTGTTGTTTATTCCTCAAGTCGTTTAAACCATCTCCATTAGGTTTCATTGTCTCAGCTTTACTATTATAGTCCTGGGGTTTTCTCAGAGATCAAATATAGTGTTGTATATATTGGAATATTACACAAAGTAACAATGGCTATATATGAGCTAGTGTTTGAAAAGGAACTTGTATATATATATATATAATGTTAATTGTTTCTGTTGTTTTCATGTAGACATATATACCAAGATTTGTTTTGTATAATTACTATTAATAATAAATAATATGTAAAGTTAAATTGGTTACGGATTCATCCTTCTTACTTACTTTAATTACATAACAGTATATATCTAATTATCATTTTAAAACAATAGTTTTGACTTTGAAATTTTGCATGTATTGACAAGATGTCAATAAAATTATGTCAATTGTCTTCACCTCTTCTAATTCTCCAGCCCCCCACCATTC